CAGGAGTGGAACTGCTCGTTCACACGGCAACTCTGTGTAACCAGAGGAACTGAGGCAATGGGATTTTACGCTTTAAGATTTCTATTAAAAGGACTGCTTTATACTCCTATCACTTTAACAGCCACGTCCGAATGAAGAGGCACAAGTAGCATAAACTGTCGATCCTGTGAACAGATGGAAATCTCCGGACGAGCCGCTGGCTCCCAGAGGGGGCTGTGTGGGGCGCGGTCGGCAGGGGACAGCTTTCCCGAATGTCACCTGTCGTGATGCGGACGCTCGCTCCTGACCACTAGATGGAGCCCGTTCCCTGTCCAGGACGTGGTTACCAAGCAACTGAGACAGCCCCGGGCGGCAGCGCCCTGGCAGCCTGCTCCGGGCACCCCACTCTTCCTTCTGCGCTCCCCGCAGAGTATCTGGGCCCAATGACCGAGAACCTGAAACTTGTTGTTAACTTGAAATTTATCCTGTCAGCAAAACCTTCACAGAGCAAACCCATTCACTTAACGAATATTTACTGAACACCTACTACGTGCTAGGCATTACTCTAGGTGCTTGGTCAACGGCAATTTACTAAACGAACTTCTGTCCTCACAAAACTCACACTCCGGTGGAGCGGGGAGAAAGAAAGTAACACGAGCGAGATACACTGCCAGTCAGACTGCAATCAGGGCTGCAGGGACAGACGCACACGAGGGAAGACGCACGTGCTGGGCACGGAGAGGCGGCAGCAGGGAGTGGCGACACTGAGCAAAGGCCTGCCGGAACAACACGAGGAAGCAAGCCCAGAGCCACGTGCAAAGGCCCTGGGGCTGGGAGAGGTGGAGTCAGTGCCAGCACCACACAGGGCCTCAGCTCTCCTAGACTCAGGGGCACCGGAAGGTCCCGCCCAGGGGAGTGGCATGGACTTGGGGTCAAGGACTACTTTCGCACTGGGCAAGGGGTAGAGGATGGAGAAACTTCACTGCAAATCCAGGCAAATACAAGGTGATGGCTTGGGACAGGTAGGTGGCAGGAAGTCTCCGGATTTCCATCAGGAGGCTGTCATGCGGTGGTTGGGACCTGGGAGAGGGGGCAGGGACCACCGCATGTGGCCCCGGGCGCATGCCAGCAGGTCAGCTGCGACGGCAACGCTGTCTAGAAAGCCAGTGCACGGTTCAGGCCAGAGTGGAGTTTGGGCCACTCTTGGCCTCTGGAACCCGAGCTCGGGTGGGCGTGCCAGGCCCGGCGCCCCTGCCCTCCGCAGGGAGCCCTGCGCGGCAGACTCACAGCTGGAGGTGGCAGGCCGGGAGCTGTGGGCATCGGGACCGCCCAGGACACCAGAAACAAGCTCTGGCACATCCGTCAAGATGCCCTGCAACCCCCACCCCAGAAGCTCTCGGCACTGAAAAGGACTCTGCGAAGACCGTTTTCCAAAAGTCACCTGGAAGGATTACCGAGGACACATGCACAGCACGGACTCACAAGCCCGTCCCTGGAGACCCGGTCACCTCCGGTGAGGTCTGGTGCGCCCCCCGCTCACCGACAGCCAGACGGAGGGCTCGCTCGTCCGCGTGGGCCGTGGTCAACCACAGCGACAGTTAGTTTCCCAGGTCCAAGGGTGTGGCGACCACGCTGGTTGGGTTTCGGATGGAATGGTAAGCCGTTTCTTAAAATGTGGTGGCCCCCAAAGAGATGGGTCCACATCCTGACCCCCAGAACCTGCAAATGTAGCCTTATTTGGAAACAGGGTCCCTGTGGATGTAACTGGGGACCTTGAGATGAGGTCGTCCCGGATGACCCGGAGATACTGGAGAGAGCAGAGGACAACGATGCAGACAGAAGAGGCGGCGACGTGACCAGGGAGGCAGAGACTCGAGTGAGGCTGCCACAGCCAAGGAATGCCAGCAGCCACCAGACACTGGAGAGACGAAGGATCCTTCCCAAGAGTCCCCAGAGGGAGTGTGGCCCTCTGACGCCTTGATTCAGGCTTCTGGCCTCCAGCATTCTCCAGAGGATAAATGCTGCCCGTTGTTTCACACCCCCGGCTTGTGGTAATTTGCCGTGGCCGCTGCAGGCAGCCGAGAACACCACACGGCGTCCATTTATTGCACCACCCCAAACTTTCGGCCGCACCCAGGCGGAGGGATGCTCATCAGTTCACATGATCGCCCTGAGTTTTGAAGGTGTGAAGCTCCCCTCCTGGAGGTGGCCTGTCTGCAACCCTGGCAGTTCAAGGCGACGCTGAGACCTCGCATTGTTAGGAAATCTCAGAAATGTTCCCAGCAGCCAGTTCTTCGGGTGACTCAGCACTTGAACAACGCCGCTCAGACAGCAGCAGCATCAGCTTGTACCTGCAATGACCCGTAACTCGCACCGTAATTTCTGAAGGGCCTTCTTTCCATGCCCAACATAGTGAGCCGACATCGCTCCGCTGTACGCTGGTTCTGAGGTTTGGGTAAGAGCTCCCACCACGCCTCGGCCACCCCGACACTCCAGAGCGGGCAAAGCAGACGTGGAGGTCCTGAGGGCGTCGTAGCAGCTGCTGCCTACAGAGGCAGGTACGTCGGAGTTTTTCTTTCTGCTCCATCCAGAATAAAAACAAAAGGCAGGCCGGGCGCGGTGGCTCACGCCTGTAGTCCTGGCACTCTGGGAGGCCAAGGTGGGAGGATTGCCTGAGCTCAGGAGTTCGAGACCAGCCTGAGCAGCAGTGAGACCCCATCTCTACTGAAACTAGAAAAATCCGCCAGCCATCATGGGGTACACCTGCAGTTCTCAGCTACTCGGGAAGCCGAGGCAGGAGGATCCTTGAGCCCAGGAGGTGGAGGCTGCTGTGAGCTGTGATGATGCCACTGCAGTCTACCCAGGGCGACACGTATCTACTACAACCTGCCCAACGAAGCAATTACGTTGTGGGAAGTTGCCTCTTTGCAATCTTGCCTCGCCCAGGAGTGGGCAAGTGGCGAGGCCCGCACAGCGCGGCCGTCCATCTCTGCAACTGAGTGCAGGGCGCCCTTCAATACGAACACGGAGGGGAGAAAAACGCACAAAGAAAGAGAAGAGCGTTTACGGTTTACTGTTTTCTGCCTACACCCGTGGAGGAAAAAGTAGTAACGTTGCTTTTCTTTTTTTTTTTTTTGAGACAGAGTCTCGCTTTTGTTGCCTGGGCTAGAGTGAGTGCCGTGGCATCAGCCTGGCTCACAGCAACCTCAAACTCCTGGGCTCAAGCGATCCTCCTGCCTCAGCCTCCCGAGTAGCTGGGACTACAGGCATGTGCCACCATGCCCGGCTAATTTTTTCTATGTAATTTTAGTTGTCCAATTAATTTCTTTCTAATTTTAGTAGAGACGGGGTCTCGCTCTTGCTCAGGCTGGTCTCGAACTCCTGACCTTGAGTGATCCACCGGCCTCAGCCTTCCCAGAGTGCTAGGATTACAGGAGTGAGCCACCGCGCCCGGTGTAATGTTGCCTTTATAGGGCAACACTTCTTATTAAGGCCTTGGTCCAAACGACTGTAACCTTGTATGTTATTAGCGCAGGCTTTTGTAGTGTGACACTCACAACCTGTGACGCCAACCACGAAAGGAGACGAACTAGGATTCTGTTGTGTTTACACTACACTGAAGCCTCCTATCTACAATTCTCACCGTATCTCGAGAACACTCCTGCGAAAGCGAAGTATCCAGGACATCTCCGTTTTACTGATGGATAAGCTGAGGCACAAAGTACTTGGGCTTAAGAACTTAGAAGTTTCTGGAAGCAGAGCCCCTTGTGCCATCAGTGCATTTTCCCACCTGGACTGCTGGTCCCCAGTCTCTTTAGGTCACGGACTCTGGCCAACACCCCAACACCAGGCAAGGCCCCGAGCTGATCCCAGGGCGCCAAAGCGCAGAGCTCAGCAACTCGCCGTTCGGGGGAGTCCAGGTGTTTCTCCCCCCCAAAAACAACCCGCCAGGGAACCCGCCTCCCCCGCCCCGCACGCAGGAGGGCGCATCACCCCGGCACCTGTGCTGGCTGCGGCACTTTCCAACCGGGAGCCGGTGAACTGGGAAGAGCTGAGTCTGGTCCCTGGTACCTCTTGCCTCCTCACGTTTCCACGAGGAGTAATCAACCCCGCCACAGCCCTGCTGTGCTCACAGTCCCACAACGGGAGGCCCGTGTCCCCAGCAGGGCTGCGTGGGGGGCAGACAGCGGGCTCGATGCTGGGCAGGGACCGCAGCGCTTGGTTCCGACTGCTCCGCCAAAGCGCACACGGCAGCGCGGACCACGCGGACCGACGACGCTGCCGTAGCGAGCTCAGGATGCAAAGCAGTTATCTCCTTGAGACGACAGCGTGTGAGAAGCATCTGTGATAACCGCCCCCAACCTCAACATTCAGGTTTGAGTACAGAACTACCAGAAGTAAGAAAAAGTAGGAGAAAACAGAGAAAAAGGTAAACGAAGAAGAAAAAATCTTCCCTTAGGAATTTTTCTCAATGCTAAAGCCCAGGAGAGGCCTGGGACACCACCTGTGACCGGCAGTGTGCCTCCCTGGCGTCAGAGACACTGGGCGGTGGGGCTGAGGCCACCTGCAGGACACGGCAGCCTCTGTCCCTTTCAGACGACGGGGAACTGGGTACGCGTCGGCCACCTCGCCATGCTGTGTTAGCTGACGACGTCAACACCTGCGGTCAAGCTCGTCACCATTCAGAAGCTGTGGTCCTTCTAGAGCAGGATGGACCTGATCACAGTGATTTGGGGCAGGACTCCAACACAATCTTGGGGAAAAAAACATTTAATGCAAATATTCAGCCATAAGAACATACGAATAAATAAATAAGCTCAGAACAGTTGTGGAAAAACCACACGTAAGTTTAACTGCCAATTTCTGTTCAGTTCCAGACATTCCGTCTCCAAAATGTCGATAATAAAATATACAAACTAAGAAGATATAGAACATTCAACATAAAACAACCTATAATAAAAATAAAGCCAAAGACAAACCCTAATTATTTTATTTCTGTATATCAAGACTACAAATAGCATTTAAAGACATAATTTGTTACTCGAATTCAGAAATTATACATTTCGTTTTGATAATGGTCATTGTCTTAAAAGTGTCATCCGGTTCCCCACATTTAGGAGCGTATTGCTAAGGACGGTCGGTCGAGCACGGCGGCCCGAGCCCAGAGCGGAGCGATGAGCAGCGTGCAGACCCCGCGGCGCCGGCACACGGCCACTCTGCTCCCACGGCCAAGGCTCCGAAACATTTTCTGCTTTTAGAGACTAGAGTCACCCGGCGACAAGCCAGGTCTTGATAAAGTGCCTCATTACAAGAATCACCGAACGCTCCTCCGCCCCGACGTGCACCAGGGACTGTCCCATCTTCTCGTCAAAGCAGCACCAGGAGCGGAGGCTGCGGAGCACGGCGAGTCGCCCCGAGATCTCCAGGAAGACTGGCGGTGCGGCCGGGGAGGAGGGAGAGGGCGTGATGGGAAGACCTGGCCCCGGCAGGCCCTGGGACAAAGATGCAGCCGCCACTTTGGTTCCAACGACTTTAATGGACGCTACGGCGTCTGTCCTCCCACAAGTCACTGCGTACTGTGGGTGACACGACGTCGCAGGAGCTGGGCCGACCCTCCTCCTCTACCTCCCCCGAACGCTCTCCAGGCACAAAGCTGAGAAAGAAACATAACAGTGAGTGAAGCCCCCCTTACGCCCACAGACAGTGACCCCCGAGCCCTCGGGACGCAGGTCCGTGGTGCACTGGGAATAGCACTGCTGGCCTCGCGTCGGGGATGCGGCTTAGAAAGCGCAAATGAAATGTTACCATCGTCATTGTTTTCCAAACCTACCACTTTGGGAAAAGGCAGCAGAAAAAAGAAATGCCTTTAGTTTTAACAATCAGGCTTGTAAACAATCCAACCCCAGGAGACGCAGCGGCCCCTGGCCGTCGCCATCTCAGCCCGACCCTGTGTCTCTGCCGCCCGCGCGGCCCGGGCGGCGCCGATCTCACCCGCAAAGCCAAAGCTTCATCTTTGGTTATTTCACTGAGTTGCCACTAGTCTAAAAACTGTGCTCTTCTTGGCAAAACTACTAAATTAGCCACATGGCACATAACATTTATTATTTTAAGTTATTGGAAAAGCAATGTCCATCTGAATAAGTGACCACACTGTAATAAAAATCATTTAAAGAACAGAGGGAGGAATGCCGGGAAGGCGCTCGGGAGAGCCGCGGGCGTGCAGCCCGTGCGTCCTCGCGGGTCTGGCGGGCGCGCTGGCGGGGGCGGCACGGGCTTCTCTGCAGAGGGTCAGATCCCAGCTCAGCTGCAGCTCAGCTCAGCTCGAAGCCAGCAGCACACTCGATAGCATACAGAAGTTTGCTTCGCAGAAGCGTCTCGTCGTAGAACTCGGGGAGCTTCAGCAGGTTCATGCAGGTGCTGGCTGTGGGGAGCCGCTCGAGGTCAGAGCCGCCGTTGTGGATGCAGAACGCAGGGTACAGCTCCTGGAAAACAGCCCACGGCACGTACAGGAAGCAGCTTTGACAAACACCGTTTTATAAGAATTGTAAAAAGCACACACACTTCGCTTGCTTTGATCAGTAAAAAGTTACTGCTGCAGTCGTTTTCCCAAAACCACATTTGCTTTTTAAAAAATTACACTGACAACTTAGCTCTGAATTACATCAAATACTGTGTGCTCACTTCTTCAAGTGAACCCCATTTTTGTAGATTTCACTTACGAACTATGTATATGAACCAACAAAAAACAAAACAAATCTAATCACAATGGGAGGAAAAAGCAATCTCTAGCCATCGAAAGCAAAATGAAATAAACGAATCTATTTATCAGTGGCTTAGTCATATAGCAACTATTTGAAGTGTATTAGAATCACAAAAAAATCTTAAACTGTTTTCAGAAATGCTGTCATAATAAATGACTGGTATTGCTGTTCTAAATCCACAAAGTATTATATATGACCTTTATACAACTAAATGTCATAAAACTACAATTTATAGGATCCTCTAACTTACTGGATCAAGCAAATGAGCTAACAGGAATCAAGATTACCTCTGGTAAAAAAAAAAAAAGGGCCCTAATATAAAGGCAAAGAAATAAAACTGTATCAACCTAAATCTAAATAGAAAACATCAGTTTGAACTCGTGATCAACTCTTCTCTTTTCTCTGTCCACTGGAAAGGCCCGGAAACAACGGCGGCAACGACCAGAGCCCGTTTCCAGACGTCGGTTCCCTCAGTCCCCTCTCTCAGCGAAAGGAAGGAACCGGGGCTCCTCGGGAAAACCTCTGAGCCCTGTGTGGGCCGGGACACGTGCTAACGTCTCATCGGACCCAAACCACCCGAGCGGGTTAAAAGTCTCCAGAGAACACCGGATGGAAACCCCTGCCCAAAGACGTGGCAATCAGAACATGAAAAAGAGCAACTGCAGTGGACTGAAACACACCAAATGTGAAAGCCCGTGACTTCGCAAGGACAACGGAGGAAACACAACTCACTGGTTGCCTTTGGAAGATGCTAGTTAATCCACTCATGATTCTGAAAACTGGTAAATAAAAACAATCAAGATGTATTCTAGCCTTCCTGTAAAAACTATTCCTCAGGGTAACCAAATGGTTGATGAGAAAAAATAACGTTTTCCTTTATAGAAAATTTCAGCTAATAAATGATAAAACGATATAACTGGAATATGGCTGTTTTATAGCCACACGTAAAGAGTGGATGCAGGCCGTGGTGCTGACCGACTGCCAAACCCAGGGGTGCAGGGGCGATGAGGACCAAGCCCAGCACTGGTCTGGCACACTCATCTGAGGAACTGAGACCCACGTTACATCATCTGTGCAATGTGGCTGCCAAAGAAGAAAAATTCAAATTTTTTTTTTTAATGTCAGCAAATTATGGGTGTACAGATGTTTGCGTTATGTGTGTTGCCCTTGGTTCCCCCCCGAAAAATCCAAATTTAGAATCTGATGAGATTCTATCAATTTATAAGATATACAAAGAAGCAACCCAGTTCTTCCATTAACTAAATTACAAGGCAAAACACAGGGAGGCGGAGCACCCACAGAGATGGAAGACACACACTCACAACCGTGTACAACACGTGTACAAGCCCGTTGTACCTGAATCTGAGA